AAATAAAATAAATAAGATGTGTCTCATTTATCATTTATTTTACAATCATTAGTAAAAGTTTTTTTTTTTAAAGGGTGATCAGTGATGGAAATGTGATAAAATCTACATCATCATTTACTTAACTGTTTTATTTTGTTTTGATACTTGGTTTTGAGGTATTTATGGGGTTTTTGTTTGCTTGCTTGCTTTTGTGGGACTGGGGATTAAATTCAGAACTTCTCACACACTAAGCAAGCGCTCTATAACTAAGCGACACTCCTACCCCAATCAGACTGTTTTGCATGTCTATTATCCTATCATCACGATATGTTTTTTTTTTTAATTTTTTAGGGCTGAGAATTCAGCTCATTGACAGAGTGTTTGACTTAGCATGCATGAAGTCCTGGGTTTGATCCCTAGCAATGCACAAACTGGGCCCGTAATCCCAGCACACAGAAGTAGAAGCACCCTAGCCTCTCATCAATAGATGAGTAAAGAAAACGTGGCACATCACACAATGGAATTTATTCAGCCATAAAGAATGAAATTATATTATTTGCAGCAAAACAGATGGAATGGAGGATCACTATTAAACAAAGTAAGGGGGAGACTCAGAAAGACAAATATTACATATTTTTCTCTCATATGCGGAATTTTTTTTTTTTTTTTTTGTCAGGGTATCACTATGTAGCTTTCACTGGCCTGGAACTCACTAAGTAGACCAGACTTGCAAAGATCCACCTGTCTCTGCCTTCCAGGTACTGGGATTCAAGGTGTGCACCACCACACCCAACCCCAGAATCTACATTTAAATAAGTGTGTGTGTGTGTGTGTGTGTGTGTAGATAAGTGTACACGTATGTGATATGAAAGTAGAAAAGAAATCCTGAGAGAGTAGGCAGGGATTTAAGGGAGAGGGAAAGAAAAAAAAAAAGAGAGAATAAAATGCATAGCCACGTGAGTACAGGAAGCGGCTATTTGGGAGAGAAAGGGGACTAGGGAGGAAGGCAAGGAGGAGTGTAGATGGCAGTGAGGAAGAGCTCGGAACCCGGCATCGATGTATGAAACCGCCATAATGAAACCCATTACTTGGCACGCTCACTTAAAATCAATTTTAAAAAGAAAGAAAAAGAACAGCATTGATGTCCCAAAGAAGAAAGCACAAACCACGGCAGAGTCAAACGGGAGCAGCACGCAGCAAAGGTTCTCCGCACTCCCAGCGTCCACCCACGCAGCCGCCATGGGCCGCAGAGCAGAAGCTAAGGCAGTCTGGGTTTCACAATCTTTATAGGACAATGTTAATTATAAGTGCTAAAGATAGGGCTTTTGGTCTAAGAGGTGACTGGAACCAAATCAGTCTGAGCTGTGGATGACTGACAAGAACATCCCTAGAGAAAAACAGCCGTTCTAGACAGCCAACATACCTGCCCTTGTGTAATTTCAACTTCTCCCGCTTCAGCTGCTCATATATCACAGGTATCTTCATCGAAGCCCGAAGCTGCCGACGTGTTAAGGTGCACAGGTGCCTGGGGTTGGCAGGTCTCTTGATATTTTTTGAGTTTCTAATCATTATCTGCCTCATCAGTTTTGTATTGGAAGGAAAGGGCGACGCTGTGTGGCAACAGGTAAATACCACAGTCAGGTAATTTCTATTCCTTAATCTCATCCCACCATTAGTATATTCTGAACCCTGATCCTTAAGGTCACTGACCACACCCTATCCTAAGTCTGAAAGGCAAGAGGCTGAAGAGGGTTGAGTGCTGCCTCTCACAAACAGGAGGGGCAAACAAGAAGCGGAAGAAGGGAAAACGTACCTTTGTTTCTGAGTTGAGCCTCAAGTTTATCAATGGAATCATGAGCATTGAGGAATCTGAATGGAAACTGCCGACTGTGAATCACAGACTTCTGAAAGGCAAGGGAGGTTTTTCAGCAGAGGACAAGGGAGGACGAGGGGCCAAGAGGGCCATAGGGTCCAGGATGACGATGTAATAACTCTACCAGGTTTGCGGGAAGGTGAAAAGGGGAAAATGGATTTCACGAAGAAATAAGAGGAAGAAGAAGAAAAAAAGAAACGTATCACTTCAGAGTTTGAAAAGAGCTTAAAAAGGGGCTGGAGAAATGGCTCAGTGGTTAAGAGCACTGGCTGCTCTTCCAGAGGACCTGGGTTCGATTCCCAGCACCCACATGGCAGCTAACAACCATCAGCAACTACAGTTCCAGGGGATCTGGCATCCTCTTCTGGCCACTGCCAGCTCTGCACAACACAGGTGCACTTACGTGCATGCAGCTCACATACATGCAGTCAAAACACTCATACACATAAAATGAAAATAAATTTTAAAAATTTGTAGAAAAAAGTAAAAAGGAGGACGCAACAGAAGGAGCCCCATTTTATATCACACTCCTTCTGAAGTCAATTAATTTACAGACGGGGATCTTTCTAGCAAGCTCACAAAATAAAAATGAAAGTTCTTACACTTCATTGTTATAACCTCTCAAAGGACTGACTAGACCCCTAGACCTCTCTTTTCCGACGTTTCTGTATTTCCACACCTATTACAGCCCTCACAGAATTAAGCTGGTAGCCAAGAGTGTCCTCAGTCACCTGGAAAAACCTGGCCTCTATAGAGCCAGGATCTCCAGACCAGCATCCAGCTGTTGAGCCCCTCGCTCCCCATCACTCACACATACCGCATGCTGGAGTTTCTGGAGAATGAGTTCATGGTGGTGGGCGCTGATTCCGATGCGCAGCAGGTTACACAGATTCCGAAGCATAGCCATAAAGGGAAGCTTCCCATTGTCTGTGGACAGTGGAACAAGTAACAGATGAGAGTTCCAGGCCCACAGCAGGAAGCACAGAGCCACACGGGAAGTTCAAATGGAAGAATACAGTCTATTTACTCAAAATGTCTTAAAGGTCAAGGAAAATAAAACAAGGATAGACCTGAAGTGTGGAGTAAAATTTATACACTATTTCTTCAACAAACCACCATGTCACTACTTTATTGCTGGCTCTAGCTGTGAGATTAGGTTCCACTGGTGAAATGTAGTCTTCTTTTTTCTTTTTATGTGGTGCTGGGGATCATTTGCAAGGTTTTGCTCATCACTCTGTCCCTCAACAGCATCCTCAGCCCTTAGGGTTCTGCGACAGTCTCACTATGTAGTACAGGCTAACTGAATTTCTACTCTTCCTTAAATAGACTTCAACTGTTATATGTATTCTATGGTCATACACCCTATGGACTAAGTGACTACATGGGTTCAATCTGCACAGTAAACATTGGAAACTTTCTTTTTTAAAAAATATTTTATTTAAAAGAACATTTTGGAACTAAATTTTTTGAATTTAATATAAAGCTATCTTTGGATTTTTTTCTGTTTATGTCTCCTAGAATATGCAACATGTTGACATAGAATTCTATGTGCAATTCTATGAGAAATACACTTAACTTGTGGCCATCATATGCACTTAGTGGAGTAATGGAATAACAGAAACAGTGTCTCATAAATCACCCTTTTGGTTTAAGCTAGTAGCTTTGTTCAGCTACTTAGGAAAAATGGCTACAACTGTCTTTACGAGTCCTATCCATGATTATGTGTATTTAGATTAAATGTGTTCCTCCTGTAGCTAAGGTTACCTCTCTGAAAAAGTATAAAACTTCAATAAATACAAGTCCTTTAAAAGAGTTGAGAGTTATAAACAACTTCAGATTTTGTAACATTCACACTTTCATTAAGGATGGAATTCTTTCATGCTTATTTACCCTCCTTGTTTTGTTTTCATAATAAAACTTCTCAGAATTAAAAAAAAAAAAAAAAAGATTTGGGGTTGGAGAAATGGCTCAGTAGTTAAGAGCACTGACTGCTCTTGAAGAGGACCCGGCACCCACATGGTGGCTACAAACCGTCCTTAACTCCAGTTCCAGGGGAATCTGACACCCTTGGCATTGCATGACACGGGTACAGGCAATACATTCATACACATAAAATAAAAATAATAAATAAAAATATAGATATTAAAAAAGATTTTATTTATTTTATGTACAAGTGTTTTCCTTGGATGTATATAAGTGCATCATGGGCGTGCAGTACCCACAGAGGCCAGAAAAGAGTATCAGATCCCCTAGAATTAGAATTACAGGTGACTGTTACCTGCCATATGTGTATTGGGAACTGAACCCAAGTCCTCCACAAAAGCAGTAAGTGCTCTTAACCACTGAACCAGTGGGGCTATCTAGCCCTAAAACTTTCTCTTCCTTCATACAGATAGGAGGTAAACTCAGGTCTTCTGGGAGAGTAGTATATGCTCTTAACTGCTGGTCCATCTTTCTAGCCCCAAGTGTAATTTTTTTTTTTAAAGAGAGGAAAAAAAATGCAATTATTTGGCTGTGGTTATAACTCAATGGCAGAACAATGCTTAGAGTGTATGAGGTATCCTCAGCAACAAAAAGATCATAACTGGGTAACCCAGGACTCCAGAAGGCTGGGAGCGTCTAATTAGACCAAATCACCTGTGAAAACGTATCGCTCTTCTCCTCATGGAAGCTTCTGGTGATGTGAGCCAGTATTGAGGGCTGTGCTGGATAGCTTTAGTGTCAGCTTGACACACCTGGGTTGAGGGAGCCTCAATTGGGGAATTTCCTCTATTGGATTGGCCTGTGGCCATGTCTGAGGGGCATCTTCTTGATGAGTGATGTGAGAGGGCCCAGCCCACTGTGGGTGGTGCCACCCCTGGGCAGGTGGGCCTGTGTTGCATAAGAAAGCAGGTTGAGCAGGGACCAGAGAGCAAGCCAGTAAGCACTGATCCTCCATGGCCTGCACTCCAGCTCCTGACTCCAAGTTTCTGCCCTGAGTTCCTACCTCGGGCTCCCTGATAAACTGTGACTTGGGAGATGTAAGACAAATTAACCTTTTCCTCCCCAAATTGGTAGTGGTCAGAGTGTTTTGTCACAGCAATGGAGAAACAGACTAGAACAAGGGCCAAGGATCATAGGCTGATCTCTAAGTTAGTCTGAGTACACCTCTCAGAGTATAAAGGGAAAAGAAATCACACCTCCTATCTATATTTACCTTGATCTAAGAGGAAAGAAATTTGGGGGCCAGAGAGATGGCTCAGCACTTACTACTCTTGTAGAGGACCCAGACTGGTTTGCTAGCACCCACATGGTGGCTCCCAGGTCCACACGGAGGCTAACTCCAGTCCAGGGATTCAGTGCCCTCTTCTGGCTGCAGGCACTGAACACATGTGGTACACTTATATAAATGTACTTATATAAAGGCAAAACATTCATACACATAAAATAAAAAATATATTTTTAAAATATTTTATTATTTTTAGTTTATGTGTGTGAATGTATTGCCTGCATGTATGTGAGTGCACCTGTGTTGTGCAATGCCCATGGAGGTCAGAGAGGATGTTGGATCTCCTGGAACTGTAGTTGCTGATGGTTATTAGCTACCCTGTAGGTGCTGGGAATCGAACCCAGGTCCTCTGTAAGAGCAGCCAGTGCTCTTAACCACTAAGCCATCTCTCCAACTTTCCCCCCATCCAAAATATTTTTTTAAAGAGAGACTCTTTAAAAAAAAAGAAAAAAGAAAGAAAAGAAAGAGAAGAAAAATGACCCTTTCAAGACCACAGGGATTAGATTATGGGTATTTGTCTAAGACAAGAAAAATGTTACAGTTTAAAATTTCAGGGTTAACGATTCTAACCAAAGAGAAGACGTGAAAGCATCCATAAAGAATCATCTGCCCATATCAGCCCAGTTCCACACCACACCCTTCTTATCACTTGTTTGAGGCAGGATCTTACTAGGTAAGACAGGCTGGTTTCAAACTAGCCATTCTCCTGCCTTTGCCTCCCAAGTGTGATTATAGATGCGCATCATCACACCCATCCATGTTCAAGTCCCTTCATCACTACATCTTAACTTGGAAGTACTGGTTAAGAAACTGTCAGATAAGGGTGGGGGGTATTTAATTCCCAGAAACACACTGCTACACCGTGAGAGAATGAGAAGAAGCCAGGGAATTCAGGCTGCCCTGAGTACAATCTATAATGGCAGCAAAAGACATTTGGGCTTCCAAAGTTCCAAAATGGGCAGTCTAAACAATTCCGTCAAGATCTAAAGACAGATATTTTTCAACAAAATGACATTAAATTCCCAAAGATCAAAGAGGAAGCAAAAGGAGACAAGGTATAAATGTGAAAATAAAATCTTTCATGGGGTCGGAGAGCTTAGTAGGCTTTTTTTTCATTTATACCTTGTTTCCTTCATCACTATGGGCAAATTATCAAAAGTTCCATGTCCTAAATGAGTTTCTGTATAGGCTTGAATATGCCAAGAGCTAGTTCTATCTTGTTTAGAATGAGTTACAGCCATCTTCATGTACGTGCTATGAGAGAAGAGGTACCACTTTTTTTTGTCCTATATTGACTTGTGCATCACCTAAGTCACATCTGGTCAACAGTATTCAAAGCACGTACCACTGTCTGCTTTGGTAACATCAATGGCAGACCTTAACAATAAGATAAAACTTTCAGTGATACAACTAAAAAGCAAAAGAATAACTATATCATTCTGTGGAACTCTTCAAGGTGGGGTCTAAAACACTGAGGCCTGAATGGGGCTGGAGAGATGGCTCAGTGGTTAAGAGCACTGGTTGTTCTTGCAGAAGATCTGGGTTCGAACCCCAGCACCCACATGGTAGCTAACAACTGTCCATAACTCCAGTTCCAAGGGATCCAAGGACCTCTTCTGCCCTTCACAGGCACTGCATGACACTGGTGCACTTACACACATGCAGGCATAACATTCATACACACTTATTTTTATTTAAAATAAAAATAAATAAATAAATTAATTAATTAATTTAATTAAATTAAATACTGAGGCATGAATGAGGACAATAGGAAAGAAATGTGACGGTGAAGGCTCCTACCTATGAGTTCCTCCCAGACAGAAGCTTTATTCCCCCGCAGGCTCAGCTCCCGTTCCCAGGTCTCTGGCCTACGGAGCTTCATCCGCTGCCCAGCTCTGCTTGAATCCCATGGCCCAGGGAGGTGACTCCGAGAAAAGAGCTCTAGGTTGGAGGGATACCTAGGACCAGAAGGAAAGTGCCTACTATTTCAGAGGGAACCGAAAATAGAAACAAGTCATAGCCAGTCAGCCATGTTTACAGCAATGTTGGGACTGAGAACGACCAGGATTGGAGGAGTCACGAATCTGGGAGTGGAATGGTCACCTCAATGGAATGTGGGTTTGGGGTACAGTTTCTCACCTGTAACCCAGCAGGGCTTGGACATGTTGGGCAGGCTCATGGATATGAAGCTGCTGTACCAACTTCTTCAGGGTAAACCTTGGCTGACTTTTTTTCGCTGGCACTGCATTGTAAGCTGCCTCAAACTGTGGAAACAGCCCCACACACCACAGTGAACATGGAGTTTCTTCAGAAAATAAAACACAGACTACCCTGTACCTATGAGGTCATTTCATTCTCTAAAACAGATTTGGGCAGAGGATAGAAAAAGCATGTGAAAACATGCAGAGCAATGGCTCCCAAGGCTAAAGGCCATGTAAACTAGTCCTCTAGGCCCCATGACCTGGGGGGCTAAAGCCGGAGGACTACACAACAGAGCCTGGGAGTTTAATGCCAGCACAGGCAACATGGTGAGATCCTATCACAAAAACAAAAACAAAACAAAACTATAGCTCTTTGGGGTCCCAAAAAGAAAGAAAAAACACAACAGCAGCTTTCTGAGGTCCCTGGGTTTCACTCATACAAGGCTATTGTCGGAGGTCAAGATTAGATGACTGGCTGATGAAATAGGTAGGGAAAGAGAGAACAGAGAACAGCTATTCTCTGAGAGGGGGAAGAAAGCAGCTCTTATTACGTCACTAAGCTCCTACACAATGGGGGGCATCTACTTGTTTTTAAAACATGGAATGTAGACATTTTGAACTTATTTACCATACTAAATGTGTCACCTGGCAGTAAGTGTAACTGCAAGAACAACACAGAGAAAAACAGGACCTGGTTCTCTTCTGAACCAGACTTCATAATCATGACTAGGCATGTCCTGGTAGGGGACTGACATGTACTACCACACCAGCTATTAGTATTTTTAAAGTTAATGGAATTCTAAATACTAGTTCAGAAAAGAGTACACAACTCCCAAACAAAAGACTCACCTTAATCTGTTCATTTTTGAGAGGCCAAAGGCTCTTTGGAAAACACCCCTTTCTCTCAGAAAATGGACGTTCTGTCTTCTACAGGGACAGAAGAAGCAGTTTCAAACAGGGAAGTGGAGGTTTCCAGGAAGAATCCCATTCCAGAAGCCCTGAAAGAACACCTCTAACAAAAACGCAGCCAGCCAGGGAAGGCGTCTGCCCTGTTCTGTGTGGCCATGAGCTCTACACAGCTCCTCTGGCTCTTTTTATTCCTGGTGTACAAATATGTCAGATGTTTTACATAGGATCCCTCCACCTCCAGGCCCACCATATTCCTTTGTCCCTCCCTTTCCAGAGAAAAGGAGTTGTGAAAAGGGCTGAGACAAAGACTGACTGGGGGGCGGGGGGGTTGGCGGGGACGTCTCTTGGCACGGTGCTTCCGTGAATTGTACTTGGCTAGTTGATACTCATCAAACTGGGCGAATTTGTCAGTCATGACAGCACGGAGGCAGGCAGGCAGGGGCACCAACTTGTTCTCATCTCCTTTTGCCAGGCTCTGTCAAAGAGAGGCGGGGCTCAGCAGAAGGGAGACCCAACCAAAGGCCCCTGCTGCCCCCAAAGTAAGACCTGAGGGTTATATGGGAAAAAGAATAAGGAACAAATTTCTAGCCCCACGTTGAGAATTACAGTTCTATGTCCTGGGCAAGTCAGCATTCTTCTCTGATTTTCGTCATTATAAATGAGGTCCAGAATAGCATCAACTTTTTCTCAAACTGTGGTCCAATACTTGCCTACCTACTGTTGCTGTTAAGCCACCTAGCCTCTTACAGGGAGAAGTTATCCTGCCTGGGCACCTAGGCTGAGGAGAGCTGAGGGAAGGCTAACCTGTCTGAAATTTTCCTCAGGGACCAAAAGAGAAGGAACCCCGTGAAGGACCAAGCCAGGAAACTGAGTACCATACCTGGTAGAACTCGGCTACCTGGATCCAGTCTGAAGGCAAGTGGACAATGGAAGAAAAATACCGTCGCAGGTGGGGGCGACAGACTGGCAGGAAGGCAGCAATGGCCAAAACCTTATTGGCTAAATCCCGGATGTTCAGTTGCTGCCTAGCATACAAAGATGCCTAGGACAGAGGGTGGAAAGGGTTGGTATGTTGGTCACCTCTCCCATAGCTCCACCACAAATGCTCTTGTTTATTGAATCTACTAGTACAAAACCTTTCCTGAGCACTCCATGCTACCTACAAAACATAAAGCCCAAGCCACTAAGTCCTCTCTACTTTTAGAATGTACCACTTTTCTAGTTCTAGTAGCGTAGTTCCTGCTACTAGACCATCTTCCAAGTCAATCAGCCCTGTCCCTCTTTGGAAGACCTTTCATATCAACATCTGTCAAAAACTTACCAGTTGCCTAACGTAAGCATTGTAAAAACAGTTCATGGAGAATAGCATGAGCTGATGACTAATTTTGTGCAATGATATCTTCCTGAAGGTAGTTTCCAAAGTATTTTGGTGACTTGCAGTCTTAGAATTATGCTGTTAACATTGAATAATAGATATTCACTAAATATCTAGAACTATTCCTAAGTAAAATAAAGATTTAAAACTTAAAAAAAAATGCATACCAAGGGTTCAAATTGCTGATTATATCTACCATGTTCCAAAGTTTCACAGAAAACACATTCTCCCCTGTCCCAGTTATCTTTAATTGTCAACTTGACAGAGCTAGAGTCATCTGAGAGGAAAACCTGTGGGCATGTCTAGGGGGATTGTCTTGATAGATTATTGATACTGGAGGGTCCAGCCCACTGTGAGTGATACCAGCCCTAGGCAGGGGGTGCTGGGCTGTAATAGAAAGATGGCTAAGCATAGCCTGTGAGCAAGACAAAAGGCAAGCCAGACAGCCAGCAGTGTTCCTTGCCTTGAGTTCTTGCCCTGACTTCCCGCAACAATGGATTGTGACCTGGAAGTGTAAGCCAAAAATCCCTTCTTCCCAAGATGCTTTTGGTCAGAGTTTTGTCACAGCAACAGAACGAAGCTGGGAATGAGCCTCTTGGCTTCCTCTGAAACAGCTGTTAATCTGTTACTCCACTTTCCATTTGAGAAAGTGCTTTGCTTTCCTGACAGTACTCTGCTCCTTTGGCACCTCACCTAGCATTCATCCCTTTAATGTGACTCCCACAGCCTAGCACTAAACTTTTAGCCTATACAAACCAATCCTAGGATACGATGGAGACCCTCTCTCACCTTTCCCAGGGATTAAGCATCAGACTCACCCAGAGTCCTGCTCCCTTCCTGAGCAAAAGCTCCTTCCACCCCTAACAAGGAACCAGTCATTGGCTCCTCACACCATAACCATATTAGTTACTTCCCAGCCTCCCTCTCCCATCCCCTTCTTCATACCACAATACCTTAAGGATGAACTCAGGCTCCAAGGGGGCTAGTTCACTACAAACTTCAAGGATGGATTCCTGGGTAGGGTCAGACGCATCTTTTATATTTACATTTGAGGCCAGAGTAGAGCACAGTAAGCTCATTAGAGCCATCTAAGAGTTGGGAAGATGGACGGGAGGAGTAAGGAAGTAAGAATCAACACAGACCAACCTATAAAACCCAGGGCAGAAAGACTGGACCTCAGGTTCAGTAAGATGGCTTCCAACTGCAAGGTTGGACAAGGGATTTGGGAGTAGGAAATTAATAACAGGGTCAGGTCCCCTCTAACACCTTCCACCTAGGGAGAGGGCCTGGTTCTGGTCTCCATCCTCACTCTTCCCGCTACCATCAAACTCCTCCCAACTTTGGGAGTTTTACCTTCTTTTCCTGAAGGACCTGGTCAGTGGGCTGAGGATGAGAGTCAGAGTCTCCAGATTTGAGTTTTAGGACCTGGGCTTCTACCTCTTCCTCTTCCTCTCCCAAGCTTAGAATATACAAAGGCATTTGGGTTTCTGCTCCTCCCTTCTCTTCCTGCATTTCCTTTTCTTCTGAAAAGCACCAACGACTCTGGAAATAGTGGCAGTTTCAAATTAGTCCCAATACTCAGGAGGCAGAGGCAGGCAGAGCTCTGTGAGTTCAAGGTCAGCCTGGTCTACATAGTGAGTTCCAGGCTAGCTGGGGCTACAGGTATACTTTATAATTAGCAGAGATATAAGACTCAAAAAGCCACAAAGCCAAAACAAAACAAATCACAGCATGTACCCACAGCCCCTCTAACAGATGGAGCTAAAGGTTATTGCCCAGAGATAGGAAGCGTCCACATCTGTAAAGAAACCATCTCTCTTCATCCCTTGACTAATCATCCTTGGTCTGTCCTGTCTCTAGCCTGGGGCTTTTTCTCATACCACATCTCTATTCGGCCTTCTGAGCTTCTGCCCTGATGCTTTGAAAACTTTCCAGCTTCCATCTTCTTACCAGCCTAGGAGCCCAAGGCCTCCCATATGTTTGCTAAATGCATTAGGATGTTTAGTGCTCCAGAAGAAAAAGCACCAAGCCCCATATCAGTCCTTCCAGAAGCCTGAGCTCCTTAACCTCCCTGAACCTGTGCTTCTTTCATTCACTACCACCTACTGAACAGATCTGATAGAAAATTAAATGGAATAATGTATGTCTGACTCTACAAAGTGCAAAGCCCTAAATCAGAGTAGGGTGGCAGGTTGCGCTTTTGACCTGAACTCTATGATGCACATTTTTTTTTAATTTTATTTATTATCTGTATCAATGTTAACCAGCATATAAGTGTACCCAGGTCATGCAGTTCCTGTAGATGACAGAAGAGGGCATCAGCTTATCTGGAACTGGAATTACAGACAGTTGCTAGCTGCCATATGGGTGCTGGGAATTGAATCTGGGTCCTCTGCAAGAGCAATCAGTGCTCTTAACCACTGAACCATCGCTCCAGCTTCAACCATGTGTCTGTTTTAAGAGAACATTAGCAATGCTGCAGCATACCACTGGTGGAAGAAAGGGTAAGGATATAGGCTTTAGTTTAAGGACAAAATGACATTTCACTTCCCACCCATCTCCTCAACCAAAACTTAATCACATCACACATTCGTCTCAGCTGCGAGTGAGACAGAAATGTTTATTCTGGAAAGTCATATATCTAGTCAACACAAGGGGAAACTATCACTAGGAAGTGTGAGAGGGAAGAAAGATTATTGCTTCAAAATTAGGCTTTGCCAGTATAGTTTTTAAAAACTAACGAAGAACATGGGTGAATTCTGAGGGGATTTTTAAAAACATTAACATTTGAAATGTAACAAATAGGGGCTCAGGAGATGGCTCAGTGGAGAAGTGCATTTGCTATCAAAGCAGGAAGACCCATGTAAAAGCCAGGTATGGCTATGTGTGCCCAGTGTTGTTGGCTGGAGACAGGCAGATTGATACAAGACACCCTATGTCTTTCTCTGGCTTTCACATGTGCACACCCTGTCCCCATATGCACATACACCACATACAAAAACACACTTGCATACACATATATACTAAATAAATAAATAAATAAATAGAGATCAATCCTGGAGTTCCT